CTGATCATTGATCAGTTTCATGATTGAAGTAGCAACAGGAGAGGGAGGGAGAGAGAAGAGGCAGTCGCTCCATATATTGGTTGTTAAGCTTAACGTGGGAATGCTTTACGAACATTCAGAAATGAACTTACACACTTGCTTTACTTCTCTAGGATAGCTTTCTCCGAGATGAAATGCTGGTTTATGAGCAAGTACCGAGGCTCCAGATGCTCAACCAGACCCCGGACAAGTCTCGCACGCCACAGCCGCTCTATCACGAGATGCACACTGCTCCGACGTGCTAAGGTTATGAGCTAGGTTACACTATGTCACTAGTTTTGTGAGGTGCTTTGTGATATTTAATGGATCAGATTACATTTTTTTATTTCTCTCCGATATCCCATCCAGTAATTTAGATCAGTATCGGACCAATACCGATACGTAATATCGGATCGGTCTATCTCTAAAAAATATATATATTCAATAAATTGGATTTGGATTTAGGGGAATAAATATATTAAAAAATGAATACAACCTAATAACACATAGTACACAAATATCCTTATTATCTTTATTGAGGTGCAAAGCAATACGTCTACACATTATCTCATCATCAGCAAATATTAATTAAAGCAATAGCAATATAATGTGTTTGTAAAAGATGCAATTTCCTATTCACACAGTCCCTTTTGCCAGAGTTCTCCTAGTAACATCTGCACAGTCACCTGGACTACTAGACATTACTCTTACACTCCACCTGTGATTTGGGTGAAGCCAGATTAAACAAACTACTAAACTTCAGTTCCACTATTAATAATTTTAGCTTGATGCACAGTAAGCCAACTTCACTGAAAAGGTGCATACTTCCCCGGTTTTTGAACTGGTGCCATACAACTTTAAACTGTGAACTGGGAGCCGAAATTAAGAAAAACAGAGGTTGACTGTTTCTTTTCAGCCAAGAATAATTTAGGGCTGGCATAAATCCTGTGACAAAGTATGGTAAAATTTACATGTAAGGTTCAATTATCCACAGAGCCTGAGCAGCACGACCCAACTTGTGGGTGTAATGAAAACGTGTGGGATAAACAATCAGGGATGCTGTTCACTGGCTCTGAAACATAAGCAGATAGGGCTGCTTCCATAAGAAACATCAATGGTGCAGAAATTTTCCCACACGTTCTGTTAGGTGATAATTAATTCAGGCAAACGCATCTAGTATCACAAACTACAGATACAATGCATCTATAAACGCAAGGGTGCAGTCTGCTTTTGATGTTGGGCACACAGTAGCGTGGTGGTTAATTTTTATCTGTGAAGCATCTAACCAAAACCATTTCTTGCATAATTAAAAGAGGCTAATTTACATCTTGAAATCCACTCAGTTTATTATTTGCCTATTACGTGACAGAGAAATGGAGACAGGAGAAAAGAGAAGAGGAAAAAGAAACAGACAGATCCCCTATATTTTCTGTCATGGTTTTGACAGGATTGTGGCACTGTCGGTGTGTGGGAGCTGAGTAAACCTCACAGATACAGAGAAAAAAAACAACAAAGGGAAGCCATAAGGCAAGCAAGACAGTGGGAGATCCAGCCAAGCTAAGAGCGAGAACCATGTGTGGGAAGAAACACCCACTCCAGGTGGGCTCTCTTCTTTCACTGCCAACCTATATATACAGTACTATTGTAATGTAAACTGACAAAAGAGGAAAAGAAATGCTGCACATTACAGAATAACAGTTTAATAAGAAGGAACTGAAATTGCTGGGTGTTTTAACTGCCAAGTCTATTTAGCCACTTAAATTACCCCCTTGTGATTTTTTTTAAATGTTTTTTTAACTGTTATGTTAAAACATTTTCAAAACCAGAAACATTTTCATTTCAATTTTGCTGTACAGGATAAATGTTGCTTATTTGCGTCTTTCTCAAGTCAATTTAACACCTCTGGCTTTCATGACCTCTGAAAACTTCTGACATGTTATTAAAAGCAGATACTTTTTGGTTGGTTTTAATTCATTAAAACAAAAGTATTCCGACTAGAAGTGAGTGTTAACTTACCCAGTTTGACCTACAGATACACAGATGACACAAAACAAGGCCAGTTCCATAAAAACAAAAAGGTGTTTATGCAGTATCATCAGTTGATGATGGCATAAACTCCTAACGTGACATTGTAACTGTTAGTCAGACAAGACAATATTACTGCAAATCTCATTTCCTACCTAGAAGGGCTGGGTTTTCAGCAGGAGATGTACTTGAATGCTGAAATCACGATGATTCGGTTTGATACAATATTTTGCATCCACTATTTGCTAAAGTCATTTTTGAAACTGCAAACTCCCAATTCCCTCGCACTAAAGATAATATACGCCACCTCAAAGGTCACCAAGTTTCTGTGACACAAGAGAACTGCACAGACTTCAATTTCATTTTTGTACAAAAACACTGTGCATCATTAATGACTGAACTGCTGGCTAAAGCCCAAAACTTCCCTGATCCCTGCGGATCACAGCAGCACGACGAAGAACAAGGAGTCAGATTTGAGCCTCGAGAAACACCAACAGATGCTGCCTAGCTCCAGATGCCATACCGTGCCTTTTACCATAACAAAAATCATGTGACCTGCCTGTCACTATCTAAGCGGGAGAGGATGGGAGGGGAAGAGAGGACTTATCACAACTTGCAGGGGGTCCAAGCCATGTAGAGCATTAATAACAACACAGGCACTGTGTTATGGAAATACCAGTACAACACAGGGCCATCTGGAGCAGAGGAGGATCCCCAGCTTCATTAAAAGATCAACAGGGTTACACTGTCAGCGATGTCCGGCACCGTGCAAGAGATAAGCTCCTGTAAATGGAGGAATTATTGTCCTTGATCAACTTAGCTGCAGTGTTGCCACATAATCACAGCACAATTTAGGGAGAATCTGAAAAACTCATTTGGTGACCCAGACATTAAATTGAATTTATTTATTTCAATTTTATTTATATAGCAAGCTGCATTTTATTGCAAGATAAAGACAATCCAACAGAGAGAAACCCACCAATCTGAGGGTCCTCGATACGAAAACACTTGACAATGGTGGAGCAAAAGATCTCCCTTTTAACAGCCCTCCAGTGGATTCATGGAAGGGCAGCAATGCAAACTCCACAAAGACTCTGTGATAATATGTATCAGTCATGCCCTACGTTACAATGGCACAAATCAAATATCAGCCATTTGAATCAGCTGTGTTGGATCAAGGACACATCTAAAACCTGCAGGACACCGGCCCTCGAGGCCTGGAGTTGCCCACCCCTGTATTAAACGGTTTTAATGATATGACACAAGAGCCCCCCGCCACAGAGGGGACAGAGATAGTAAGGGATATTTAAAGGATTAAGAAAACTGGGATTAACAGGTTAATGGGATTAATTAATGGGTGAAATATGTTAAACCTATTAAATTGGATTTAAATTTTCTTATTGTTTTTTTTTTACTCTAACTTATTTATTTATGTATTATTTAAAGTGTGCACCTTATCTCTCTTCACCTCTCTATTGGACAAACTTAATTTGTACACATATTGTACTAGTTCTGTTACCAGGCTTCAAAACATAAATTGCTGAATGAAAACAAAGAATTTCAATTATTATTATTATTATTATTATTATTATTATTATTATTATAAAAATAATATGGTACAAGTAAATTTAAAGGGCATTTTCCAGAATGAAGGTCCAACACATTAAATGTGTTTCTACACATTTCTACTCTGTATCTACTGAAAGGTTAAGGCTAACCTTATAAAATAACCACTAAACCTACTATATCAAAGTTAAAGTTCAATTTATTCCTGTAGAGTGATGCCAGGAGTTAAATGTGTCAAATATATATACTTTAAATGGTTTTCCAAAACACAAAATAACATAATGATAACTAAAATAAAAAACATCGGGGACTCTGTGTGCCATCAGAGGCTTTCTCTCCTCAAGAATATGTCAGCGCAACTTCCCAAAATGGTAACATTAGATGTTACCAGAGCCCAACATGAAGATTTGAGACTAAACCGAGACTCTGCAATTTCACAAACACACAAACAATCTTTGAGATAACCGATAAACAATAACACATGCAACTGGCACCACCGGATTTCGTGTTACTTACACCCACAGATAAGAGCTGCTACATCGACTGTAAATGTCAAAGCGGTTAAGCTGCTCCGGTGTTGTTTGGGCGTTCACAAAGTCACCGCCGTCTCAAGTCTAAGCTAACTTAGCTCTGAGCTTCTAAGCCAACCAGCTCAGCTAACGTTAGCAGCTGCCTCATCTGGCAAGATACAGATGTTGTGGATGAAGGAGTCAGTGATGCTAGTACGTCCCAGTAACGTTCATGCTACAGCCGCTGGCAAAGATGCAGGAAGCAATCGTTTAAAAAAAAGAAAAAGAAAATTGTATATATACTGTGTGATTTAACAAACAAAAACCTTACCGTGGCGTGTTATTTAGGCCTACAAGTGAGAAATGTAAGACTCCCCTCCTTCCTCGTCTGCTGTGTGAGTAGCTTCTGCCCTGCGACAGCTAGCTAGCTGTTTGAGAAACGGAGACTGTAACAGACTGAGAACCGATGTTTTGACGGACCAATCCAGCTGAGCACGCAGGTCCCGTGCTTCACATGGAGGAAATGTTAACTGCAGGCATTTAACGCAACGCTTTTATATGCTAACAAACAACCTAAGCTACTTCCGCTGAAGGCTACGATGCCCTTTTGCCTTCTTTTATTTCACGAGTTCTAAATATAACATTCACGGTTCCTGGTCGTTTCTGCCTCAAATGCTTTATGACCTAGTGGCACCATCTTGTGGTGTACTGGAGAGTTGGACCTAGTAAAATAAACTGGCCTTGGCTCTTTAATTATGGGCACATTTTATTTAGAGGTCTAACATAATAAGACTATTATATTTAGGATGGCTGTGATGGCTACCAGGACACTACAGGCAAGCCGCTCTCATTACACGTCCTTTGTGTCTATGCGGTTTTGCATCTGATAGCCATTATCTTTAAATCATTGAGCTTCCTGCACTGTCTCCACAGTACATACTGTATATTATTGTAACAGATCTTGCTTGCTCTGCATTTGGTATAAAATGTTGCTTCCATCTGCAGAGGGCCAAGGACTCCTCTGGGAGTAGTAAAATTAATTTCCAAAGAATTGATTGGTTAGTATGTGGTGATTTTACGCCCGATTTTATCTGGTCCACAGCAGAAGGCAACATGGCAATATACTCAGGTAACCTTTTATAGTACAGAAAACCCAGGGTTAACACTGAAACTACTTGGATAAGGCTAAACACCGCATTCCTAGTACATTCCTTATTAAATATGTTTGAAATAAGACAGGTGGCACAAGTGAATCTCTTGTAAATGGGAAAAGAAAAACAGAACAAAAACATTAGGACACATAAAATTGAAAAACTTTTATTTTAATTAAAAGAAAAAGAAATTAAAGCAACAGACTGCAAAGTACGAGATTTCAAATGATATCCAACGTATCAAATTCAAGGGGAAAACAAAACTATACAATGCAAAAATGTTAATGTAGCTGGAGCAATTATCGCCTCTTCTGGAAGATGTTTCCCCTTCCCATTCCACCACGCCCTCGTCCTCTTGCAGCCACTGGAGAGCACAAAAAACAAAGATGGCATACTATCAGTTTTTAACGTAGAGTACCTCACTGAACCAGAAATACACCAACGGTTCAGTAACTTTAATAATACATTCAGTACTTTGGTTGCGAGAAGTACAGTGAAGTCTAATTTTGTATCCTTAACACCCACTTGGCAAAATATCAGTTCTATCTTAAAGGGGATGTGAAGACAAATTGAACAACAATGAAACATTTAAATCAGTGTTTTTGACAGATCCCCCACACCTATGACAAGACTGTACTTATTACACAAGGAACAGAGCAACACTGGACAGAAAGCACTTTTCTCATGGTAGGATTTAGTTATGCTGCACAAACACAAAAAGGCAATCAATGTATGCAATGAGTATAAAATCACCATCAGTTGCGCCCACTACTGAACATACTGACAGGTGTATCAATCTACTGCAAATTTTCACTCACCTTGTGCTTTAAGAATAGCTGCCTTGCCCCTTCCTGCACCAGATCCCTGGTTCTTGTTCTTCATACTCTTCAGCATAGGAGCATTTTTTAACATATCGGGTAAAATCAGAAAGCGGATTTTGCTGCCACGGATGTAAACTTGCTCCAGCTGTGCCACGCGGCCATCCCGATAAGTCACTGTGATATTAGACATCTGTAAAAAAAACAAAGATCATTCTTTCAACAAATGTAATCAAACTGCTCTTTAGTGTTTTATTCAAATCAACAGTAGTTATCTAAACTTTACAAAGCCATAAAAGGAACAGTTTTTTACCATCTGATCCGGGACCGATTTTTAATTAACTGGCTTTTACTAATGCAGCTACCAGATTGGGGTCTCCAGTACTTGATTAGCACAATTCACTCTTAATTTGACACCAACAGGTGGAAAGCTTGGAAACCTTTAAACAACTATGGGGAAAAAAATAAAAATAAACAAAAAAAAAAACCAGAAATAAATGTTATAATTAAAATAAAAACACCACAAATTGAACCTGAACATTCAGAACAGAGAGACACAGAACAAAGACACTATTATTTGTAATGAAAATTCCTTTTAGCCTCATTAAGCTTTTCTATCGGTGTTGCCACACAAGACATTACGCCATTTATGGGCATGTACCTGAAAATAAAGTAAACAAAACTTGTTCAAATTATCGAGCAGCCTAATAAAGACTAAACTGTTGATTACTCTAATGAAGGCAGAAAAGAAAAAAGAAAAAAAAAAATCATAAAAACAATACAGTACCAACACTTTGGTTGATGGGACCCCAGGAGGAAGGAGGAACACCATCCACATTCACTTTACACTCTTTATCATGTACTGACCTGGCAGTTCATGTTGTCCTCTGCTTCAATCAGCTTGCCTCTGTAAACCTCTCCAGTGTTGGTCTCACAGGTCACAATGTGTCCTTCTGCCTCATGCAGGACCTTGATTGGAACGCCGATGGACATTTTTCAAGAATGTTTCTGGAAAACAAAATTTAGCAGAAGAAATGTTACACTGTGCACATTCATAAGGCTGTAAGCTCCTGCAAACGCATTTATTTATTTATTTTAACCATCAAACATCAGACTCAAAATTATATTTAGCCATAAAGTTGGGTTACAGTTAACTGAACTGGCTTGTTAATTTTGGGATGCGTTTAGTTACAGAAACACCGGGGAAGCAATCACTTGTCCACACATTATCCTCGCCAATTTATTTTTCACTCGAGTACTGCCTGTGTAACGACAATCAGCTCTCTTATACTGTTTAAAGAGTAGCTGGGAGTTAATATATAACAATCAGTGACCCTCGTTAAGATGGGATAAGCAGGCTACAGTTAACTTCCGATCAATAAAGCGAATCTCTCAGTCAAATCATTGAATATCGAAGCTGCGAGAGGAATTAGCCTTCATTAGCGAGCTAGGCTAATGTACAATAATATATCCTGGTTGCATACAATAATGTAATCCAATTAATGCCATGTGTAACAAACCAAACTTAAAATTACACAAATACGATTTCAACATTAACGTTTGCCTCTTTATTGCAGTAACAAGTTATTAGTTCGGCAAATAGACGGAGCCATATTGGCTCCTGAATGAACGCGCTTGATTCAAACGCCCAAGAAACAAACAACGCTGCTAATGAGCACGGAAAAAAAATTACGGTGTCAGATGAATTACGAGTATTTTTGTTTCTTACCTGGAGTCTATCGTAAAAGCTAGTTTCTTTGTTATTGCTTCTTCGTTTGACGTTGCAACGTGCGCCAGACGCGGTTCCCTACCTTTTGAGCCCTTTTTCCGCTTTCCCACAATCCACCGGCGGGTCAATCGAATGCTTCCTGCGATGCTCCGCAGTGCATTGTGGGATCTGTATTTTTATGGCTTTACGGGTTCACAAGGAATTTGGCGAAAAAAATGATACATCAAATGATCATCAGTAGATCTTTTATACATGCCGTTTATTGTATTTTTATTATTATTATTATTCCATAATATGTCATTGTTTGTCATATAAGTTGCAGGAACTACTCTCTTTTTATTTGATAGGTTATTTTTTCCAGTTTATTGATTGCTTGTCTCTAGATTGATGGCTGGATGTTTTGTATTGTTTTATCTTTAGACTCAAGGGACAACTAGTGGGAATCTGAATAAAGAATAAAGAATGAGCAGACATTCTTATCTGTCTCTCATCAGCTGTCTATGAATCAAGATCTAGGCAAACCAATGACCAAACAAACCTTAATTATGTTAAAATAGCTGTTGAGCTGACTATAAATAAAAATAAAGTTGCATAGTTGCATACTATTGTTAGTAGCGAAGGCTATCGTATGTGGGAAATTCCCTCCCGAAATTACACTTTTACACCTACCATTCACTTCGCAGAACAGCATCACAGTAGCTCCCTGGTGCAGGCCCTGGTGCACAACTGAGCAGTTGGATAGATTCACCAGAGTCTCCAGCTTGAGAAATAGTTTGTTCTCAGATTCTCTGGTAACTTTTAAGAATCACCAAAACACAAGTTTTAACATTAACAGTAAGGAGGGTAACCCGTTTAGCCAGGTTGCAAAGAAAAAGTCACACCAGAAGAACTAAGATTTGAAGAAAAAAACAACAACAATAAGAACAACAACAAAAAAAAACCCATGGGGTAAGAAGAATCACATGTACTAACAAATTTAAGTTTGAGGCGTTTAAAAAGAAGAACATTTGTGAGGTGTAGAACAAAGGATGCAGTACTTGTAATGGTTATGCGGTGCATTGGTGGAGGCGGGTAATTTATGAGGCTGACTGAAATCATCAGCCAGAGAGGGAATGCACAGAGTATGACTCTTTAAATAAACACTGTGGTCTCTGCTGCAATAAATCTTTTGTTACTGAGTTTCTGATCATTTGCATTTCTTTCTAAAAGATAGCTTAATCATTTTGCATGCTGGTGTCACACATGTGTAATTTATGGCAGCATGACACACTATAAATGTACACACTGGATTGTTTTCCTCCAGGTCATCATACCACAATGGTCCCTTATCTTTTTTTATTTTTTATGACTCAGGTATGTAATATCCATAACCAAATCATTTTGATAACCCTTCTCATGCTTATCAAAATATCATAACATGCAACAACAACAAAAAACATTAAAATGAAATGGTTTCACCCATTTTAATTCCCCTCTTGCATGATTACAATGTGTAATAAACGCAAATACATTTAAGTTTTTGAATAAACACAGTGCAAGTTAGATACGTACCCGTATTCCTGGGTACTCTCTCTGGGATTGCTTTAGGGCACATAAAAGCTGGTTAATGTAGGTCTTTGCCACAGTGGAAGAGCTTTTTAATGAGAGAAGGGAAAGCATTATGGGATAATAAAAGACACCATCAAATGAACCTTCATTTGATTTCCATTGCATTAGGCTTATTGACTGGCGTCAGTGCCAGGCTGCTCTGTAAACATTTCTTACAGAGTGGTCTGTGGTCATGTGTATGTACTTTACCTATGTATGTGTGTCCTTTTCATAGTGTTATGCAAGCAAGCCTTACACTAAAAGCATCTACAATACAGGCATATGGGGTCATATCTGTACAGGCAAACAAGCTCTTTGTTTTGGATGGTTAGTGAACAACAGTGAACATGTGTTGCCTGGCACTGATCAAATCGCT